TTCGTTGCTATGGGGCCACCTGGGCCGCCCCCCAGCTGCTCTGCCCCAGTGGCCCCCAGGCCAGCTGCTGTTGATACTGATCAGCGGCTGACTCCAGGAAGCCCGAGGCAGAGCTGCTCTGCCCTGGGCTTCCTGGAGTCAGCCGTTGGTCAGTTTCAACAGCGGCTGACTTGGGGACACCTGGGGCAGAGAAGCTGGAGTGCTGCCGGGTAGGTCCCACAGCGCCGAGTCAGCCACTGGTCAGTTTCAGCAGCGGCTGGCCAGCTGCTGTTGATACTGATCAGCGGCTGACTCCAGGAAGCCCGAGGCAGAGCTGCTCTGCCCTGGGCTTCCTGGAGTCAGCCGTTGGTCAGTTTCAACAGCGGCTGACTTGGGGACACCTGGGGCAGAGAAGCTGGAGTGCTGCCGGGTAGGTCCCACAGCGCCGAGTCAGCCACTGGTCAGTTTCAGCAGCGGCTGAATCGGGGACAGCTGGGGGCAGAGCAGCTCCAATGGTCCGGCTGCCCGGAGCACTTCCGGGTTCCTGATGGTGCCGGACCATCAGATGCCGGACCTTAGGAGTTTTACTGTAGAATGTTAGGAATCATTAAAAAAGGATCACAAATAAGACAGAAAATATCTTATTGCATCTATATAAAACCATAGTACGCTCACATCTTGAATACAGAGTACAGATATGGTTGCCTCACTTCAATAAAAGATATATTGGCATTGGAAAAGGTTCAGAAAAGGGCAACAAAAATTATTAGGGGTTTGGAATGGGTCCCATATGAAGAGAGATTAAAAAGACTTGGACTTTTCATCTTAGAAAAGAGGAGACGGGGGGGGGGGCCGATATGATAGAGGTCTATAAAATCATGACTGGTGTGGAAAAAGTGAATAAGGAAAAGTTATTTACTTATTCCCAAGATATAAGAACTAGGGGTCGACAAATGAAATTAATAGGCATCAGGTTTAAAAGAAACAAAAGGAAGTTTTTCTTCACTCAGTGCACAGTTAACCTGTGGAACTCCTCGCCAGAGGATGTGGAGAAGGCTAGGACTTTAACAGGGTTCAAAAAAGAGCTAGATAGATTCATGGAGGTTACATCCATCAATGGCTATTAGCCAGAATGGATATGAATAGTGTTCCTAGCCCCTGTTTCTCTGGAGGTGGGTGACAGGGGAGAGATCACTTAAGGATTACCTGTTGTGACCCCTCCCTCTGGGGCATCTGGCATTGGCCACTGTCGGAAGACAGGATACTGGAATAGAGGGACCTTCGGTCTAACCAAGTATGGCCATTCTTATGCAGCCTTTCTGGAGGCAGAAACTGCCCAGTCCCAGCTGCCAGGCAGCTTTTCCAGCCCCCAAACAGTATCTGAGGCAGGGAGGCCATGGAAGGGCGGAGCCTGTGGGACGCAGAGTGACATGATGACGTCACTCTGCCGTCCCACAGGAAACACTTTTATAGATAGATAGATAGATAGATAGATAGATATTAATTTGATGTTTTCAAACAGTAATTTCTTCATTTGCTGATGCCACATACCTGAGGTTCTCCACTGATGTCAATGCAACTTGTGCCATTCTCAACACAAGCTTTCACCACGGGTTCTCCAAAAAACCTGTACTATAAACAGAAAAGGAATCTGATTATCTTACTTGGCAATTTAAAATATTTATAGCAACCGTTTTGCTAAAAGGAGTAAATTATCACAATTGCACATTTTGTTAACATATCCTACAAACATTAGCAGAAAAAACAAGGAATCCTGTGGCATTTTAAAGACTAACAGATTTATTTTGGCATAAGCTTTCATGTCTCCATGCAACTGACAAAATGTTTTTTCCCCGTGAAAGCTTACGTCCAAATAAAACTTAAGACCTTAGACTCTAAGGTGCCACAGGACTCCTCGTTGTTTTTGCAGATACAGACTAACATGGCTACCCCTCTGAGAAATGTTAAAAGTTTATTGTACATGAAGTATTGTACCATACTTGCATAATCTTTGTTTAGAAAATCATATAAGTAAAGGCTATTTAATCTATATTAGTATTAATGCAAAATCATAATTGAAACAATTTGAGATTTGTCATATGCTCTAATCCCCACTCTACACATTTACAGCACCTATCTCCCAACTCTTGCCCTTTGATCTACTGTGGATGAGTTGGCAGAGGGAATTCTGCAATAGAAAATGTAAAGGGATACCAACAACTAAGAGTCAGACTTAACTTCAGTAGGTAAACATTTTTACACAGTATTAACTGCCCAGATGGTTTTCTGTTTTGACAGCATTTCAGGTGTGATTTGACAGCATTTCAGGTGAAATATAATTCTACAAAATCTGGCTGAGGAATCTGACTAGATGTAATACCCAAAACTATTTTGAAGTATTTGTTTTTTAGATAACTCAAAGAATGAATTCAAGAATTTTAGGTCTGCATAGGGCAAGCAGCCATTCCAAATTTACTGTCACAAGCAGCAGCACCATCTCAATATTTATTTGTTCCAGAAACTATATTTAATTTTTAGAGTTTCAGAGCTCTTGTGTTTTGACCTCAAAAGATAGCATACTCAGCTATTGCATATTTGTAGTATACTATGGAAACCAACGTCTTTTGTCTGTAACAGCAAGTGAATTGCTTGTTTGTCTATTTTGCTTCTGATACTTAGAACACTGATACTTACTGGGCCTACACAGTTGAGAACAACAGCTGCCTGTTTAGCCATATCAGCAAGGGAGGATGGATCATTGACATCACAGAGTATTATGCCAACTCCTGACTTTAACTCTAGCTTTCCTGAGAATTGAAAAAATAAGTGTTATAAGAGGAGCCTGGTACTAGCAGGTTACGACCCCCATCAAATTTACTTGCGCCTTTCTTTTAGCTGCAGTTCTTAATGTCTTATTTATGGTATGAATAAAAACAAGTATAGCAAGGAAAGGGATGATTTTCCAGCACATTAACGAACTATGGCTTCCCTCTCCATTCTGTAGGGAACAGGAAGATTAAACCCAGTGATGTCAGATGTAAAAAGCATCAACTTCAGAACAGTTGCAAATGATCTCAGCCTGAATAATTGGTCCAGCAGACTATGACTATTATTATAAATAATCACTGCTATAGCAGTTGCTGTCAAAGGACCCAAACACCGATGACAAGGCCACCCCACCCCACCCAGGGCTATCTAAATCTCACGGATTGCTCAGCAGCCCTGCCCCCACAGGAGCCTGAAGGAGGGCGCCCACCACATTCCTGCCCAGCTCCCCTTCCTGCCAGGGCCTTAGGAGTTAAAGGAGTTTAAAACAGGAAAAAGAGCTCTTATGGCCCCAAGCAGGGAGGGAGAAGCACACGGAGCACTGCATGGGGAAGGGGGTATGAGGAGCCAAGTAGCCCTGCCATCCCGGTAGGTGGGGGGAGTGCTGCTACTCCCCCTCCCCGGTGTCAGGCACTGCCATGGAGGGACATTGTTGTCCCCACGGGGCAGCAGCTAAGCAGGGCAATGGGGAGGCGCTGGACAGGGCTGGGGGGGCGTGGCGCCAGGCAGGGCTATGGGCAGGAGCTGAGCACGGTTGGGGGGCACCGCTGCTACCGGGAGGGGGAGGGGCCGGGCAGGCCCG